TGATTTACCGTAAGATGCTGGTACCCTTCAGGCAGGTCTTTAATGTCGTTATAAGCTGCCCACTTATTCGACATAATAGTGGCGCCCGGGAGGATATACTGCCGGACAAGCGGCACAAGGGTAGCACTTATCGCTCCCCCTCTCAGTCCCTCCAAAACACCACTGATGTGAGACAAGCTTTCCTTTATTATTTTTTCTGCAAGCCAAAACGGTCTCATCAATCCCGACGACTTTGCCTGGTCCGTTTAACTTAACAGGTCGCGCGTTAAAGTAAGAGACGCATACATACCGGAAGGCTTTGAAATAAGAAACGATAATGGCGGAGCTTATTGTACTGCCAGTTTCCCGGCGCACGTCCAGTGCAATCTGGTCGTATACTGGCATGCTAACCTGCGACCAACAGTAAAATAAATAGAAAACTTCTTTTGACTTCAAATTTCCCCTTTCAAAAAACGCTCCATTTGAAACCCCACTTTTTCCTGCAAACCCTCTTTTTGCATCGAAAATACCTTTTCCGCAAACTACCGCCTTTATTTCTATCGGCATTTGAGGTCATACCGCTGCCGCAAAAACAAACTCGCTGAACGAAAAGAACCCCAAGCATTTGAAGAGAATGCTCAAACTCTTCATCAGAAAGTGTAAGCTTCTGAGAAAGATCCCGATGACCAAAACTACGTAAGCAATTCATTATAGTTTAAGAGAACGCACACCGATTAACACGTAATTGGTGGAAAACAATGAATAACATCCAAGAATAGCAGAAGGCAACTTTCAGCCTCAAAGCTTTGCAAACACAAATGGAAATTCTGAAGCTTTATCAGCAAAAAACCAGGATATTCGCTGGGAACAGAACTAGCAACCACTATGCGACACGCTAGCTCACAATTCTATGCACCAAGTGTAAGCTCGAGGCTGCAGTATTTTAAAGCATATTTGAACTTTTTTACGATTAGGTAAAGGAGAGAAAGCGGAAGGAAGCTTCCTGAGCCCCGTTTCGCTTCACATGCCTTCCCCTCTTCTTTAGCTGTGTTCAAAAGAGCGACATTTGCCGTCTTTTCAGCTTTCTCCCCCTCTTTATCAAAATGCATTCACCGGACGCCTTACTGTGAAAGAGATCATCTGACGCCCAGTAAGTTGTGGAAGCCAACCAATTTCACTTTCCTCAGAATTCAGAAGAAAACTTGCAAAACACTCCCACCTTCCGAGCTCCCTATATAACTGTATGCAACCAACTCTAGACGGGTTGCACAGGCTGCGCATCAGACAAGTGAGAAGGTATCTCTCACCGTTATCAGTAAGTTATACATACTCTATATGGCACCGACATACCCTACGAAAAAAGTGAGCTTCTGATTGGCATCATCGTCTTCAGTCAATCAGCATGTTGGAGCCACCAATCTGAGTAAGAGCCGAAAGTTTAAGCTATTGGGTTAGAGGTTCACTAAAGTCGATCTTCTGTGAGACATTAAATAAAATAAAACGTAACTTGTCAAGTGCACCTAATGCATTATTGATAATTTTCAGCTTGTCAAAAGCTCTTAAACTATAACATATAGAATTTAGCATACTTTAATCTACTGTAATCTGTAATCTAGCGGTAAAGTTTACACTTTTTTACATAAACTTTTTGAAAATTATAGGTTTAAAAACGACCTTATGTCTCACATAAAAACTACTGTTTTCATATAGTTAATTTAGAATACAATATACGATTAAAACAGATTTTAAATCACTATGGGAATCATCTTTCATTGTTTAATATCGTAAGTTAGAAACACCAAAAAAATTTTTGTTTGCTTATCAGCATCGAAAATACGTTTAATTTCTAATTCTTTTGGCGTCAATTTTTAGTAGAGTGATGTTAATATAAAAAGCATACATAATTTTTAAGGTTAATTTATTTAAGCAACATCAATAGTATTGATTCCAAAAAGTTTTTTCAGGTTGCATACGAAATATGTTTATACAATGTACGATGAATTTATGGAATTAAATTGTACATTTAAGTAACAACTGTTCAAATGCATAATTACTGTTCTTGACTGAAAGTTAGACATCAAAAAAACGACATTTGTTTGCATAAATTCTTCAGCTCAAAAAGTGTTCAGAAAAATTTATTTTTCAAAAGAGAATAGGTGTGACAAAAAAAACCATACAAATTATGTTGACAAATTTAGTGAAAGATTACTGCAGAAAGGTTGTGCGACTTGATGCACTTTCTGATCAAATAGGTTTCATCACACAGTGCATCCTAAACATTGAATGTAGACAGGCAAAATGCTTAAAAGTTTTTAAACTAAAGTAAATAATTTTAAAAATCTAAAACATACTGTTATTCATCACAAACATTTAGTAAAACTAAACAATAAAGAAAACAGTTGATTTTACTGTTTCACTCAAAACGAACTTTAACTTTTTATCCTAAAAAATCTGTTAATTAAAATGCTGTTTCTGAAAATGATACAGTATAGTTGGTTAATTTGATGCACTTGACCAACAACATTTATTGACGATTTCTCTGCTAAATTGCTTATGTTATTATTTTCTATTTTATTTTATTTATTTATTTTTTTTTGGCTTTACTTATTTTTTGAATTATTTATTTTGCTTTTAGGGATATATCAGTAACTACTCTTTCTAACTATTTTTGAATGATATAAATGACTGCTTGTGTTTCTCTAAGTTACAGTTTGTGCAGTTATACCTCTTTACTCTCGGCTCCTCAATTTTTTTCTTGCTTTTGTTACCTTTTTTTTCTTTTCTTCATTTTCTGCTAATAGACACAAGTTTTACTACTTCCTTCTGCCTTTTTTTTTTTGATTTTTGACTCTATTTATTAGCTCTTTTTATTATTTTGCATTTATCAACAATTTCTGTTGAACTGTTGATTAGTAATCCAACAGCCAAGCAGACTTTAATTCAGACAAAAAATATCAATTTAACAAATGGCAACAAATACATGCACTACTGCTACAAAACGCAGTATTTATTCAGCAATTGTAACAGTGACAGAACTCAGTTTATGAAAAGCCATGAGCTCTTAAACTTTGGCTGCCTCACATACGTATTTGAGAAAGAGCGTAGAAAGACGCCCTTTATACTGGCAAACTGCCACTAGAGCGAAGTCGCTATCATCTCAGCTTAGAGCAGCAGAGCAGACACGTCGACTATGTCAATCTCGACCGGAGGAATGCGAAGTCTCCTTTTCCTGAAGAGAAATTGTGCTGTGCAGCTGTAGATTTATAAACAACAATGGGGCATTACAGATGAGTCTGGCCTTTTGTAAGAATATGAAGGCAAAGACGTTGGTGAGAGGTACAGAGTAGGATTATAAGATGGTCGAAACGATGGCGTAACGTCAGTAATGCAAAGACGTTTAATTGCCCAAATTTGAGATAAGTTGGGCAACAGTGGCAGCAGTGAGGAACTACGAACAGATTTCACCTCTTGTAGCGACAGGAGGGCGGAAAGATTGATGAGGTATAACTGGCTGCAGTGGTCCGAGATGTAGTGGTGTGCGGTGTGCGAACATCAAGGAGGGGAAATACATTCTGCCAAACTTCTGCACATTTCAGAACAACAGTTCCTGCTTTATTCTTGAAACCACAGAGGAAATCTCTGCTAGTGCTTCTCAAATAAAACGCTTTTTAGGAATCTCCTCTTATAAAACTGAAAATCCGGTGGTTTCAGGACTAGAAGCGCACGCGATGAACTGCCTTTCCTGACTTCATAACGATGCGGAAGGTTTGCATATATAGAAGCATATTGCCAAGCTGCAGGAATCGAAACCACAAGTGGCAACACTGGTATATGAAGCGCTGCATG